GGAAAGAGGATAAACAAGTATGTATAACAATTAAACATTGTTTAGTTACAAAAGGCTTCCCTGATTTTAGATATACAATATAGAAGCAAAAGAGCATAACTGAAGAGGTACAAGAATTATTGACATTTTAGATGTAAAAATACTTAAGAGTTAGCTTCTGGCAAAAAAAAAAATAAAAATAAAAAACTTAAGACTGCTGATCTTTTGTATTAAAGGATCTGAATAATCACATCCACATCTTCATCTAGTTTTTGCTAGTCTTATAGTTAACTATTCAGTTCATTCAGAGCTGGAAATTAAGAGGTTGTTGTTGTGTTGGTTTGATTTTTTAAAGGTTAGTCAATCTGTAAAAGACTAAAGGCTGAGATATAAAACGCAAAGGAATAGTTTTGTTAGGCAAAGTATAACAGTTTAATTGCTCATCTTTTAGAAAGAAAAAATAATTCAAATAATATTTAGCAAGTGACGACAGCAGTTAGAAATCTTGATCATCCAGCTGTTAGAAAACTCACTTGCCAAGACAAGATTTTAATCTGCCTGAATCAAAGAACTGCTTTATGCCAACAACGTGCATAAACCTCCCAGAGCCGCGTTACCAGGATCGCTGTGGGGATCAGAACCACCTGCTGCTGAACAACCTCTGACTGGAAGATGCAATAGATGAAGCTCCTCAGTTCCCAGCAGCACGGGGCTTTGTGCTAACAACATTTCCTTTCTCTGTCTGCAAAGCTATCAAAGTTGTATTCCCTCTTTCTTCTCTTGCAGTACTTGAGGAAAATAAACACGTTTTCTGAAGAAAAGGTGTAACGATAAATCCACGCAGCTTCAAGTTATTTAGTCCAACCACAGTATTAACTACATCATTATTAGTAGATGGTTGACCTTCATAACAGCCTGGTATAATGAAAAGAATTACTCATGAAGTAAAGAGTCGATTGCTTAATACTAACTTCATGCAATTGTCTTAGGACCTGAAATACAAGTTTTCACAGTGCTGCTGTGAGCCTTTAATAACAGCAAATACCCTTATTTTTATATTACACCTCAGGAAACCAGAAAAAGCAAGGTGGTAGCACTTGTTTGGGTAAAGTCAACTGAAACAGTTCTTGGAATAAGCTTTTCTAGATGTCTCATAAGTTAAGCGTGCACAAGCTCACACAGTCACTGAGCTCTCAAGTACAGATTCTGCTTTACTAGCTACAGTGACTTACTGGTAACACAGATCTTTCTTCTGGCGGGACCAGAGAGTCCAAGCTGAAACTAAACACAAGTTTCATGCCACCACTGAGCTGTTGGGAATACTTCTCTGTATATGTTTCGCAATTAATTTTTGGTTGTTAAAGTTTGTGTCTTACTTTAAACAGTCTTATTTTTTATATAGTTTTAAAACCTCAGACATACACTAGTTTTTTATCACAGAATGGTTCAGGTTGGAAGTGACCTTAAAGGTCCTCAGGTTCCAACCTCTCTGCTATGAGCAGCGACACCTCCCACTAGACCAGGCTGCACAAGCCTCATCCAATCTGGCCTTGAACACCTGCAGGAATGGGGCAAATTTTAATTCAGAGTATTCTCCTGTTTGAAGGTGTTCCCTAAAGCTGACATATACCTAGCCCTCTTTGCATTTTGGAACCTCCAGTGAGCACTGATCTAGTTTTCAGGATAAAAGCTAACCTGACTGCTGCTGTATCTACTGAACACAGCTGCTGTGAGAGAGTAACCTCTGTATAATGAGAAGCTAGACAGTGATGTTATGGCAATACCTGACAACCTTGAAGGAAATATAATTTTAATTATTCCTTTAAATACATTGAAAGACTCCAGCACCTCAAAACCAAAAAGCTACAACCAGGTCATCAAACTATGGGCTCTCACAGTGAGTTCAGTACCAGCAGTGTGATTAACTCAGCCAAGTCTAAAACTATAGGACACCACATAACTGAGCACAGCAAAAACACCAGAGATGCTCATTGTCATCTCTGGTCAAAAATAAGAACAGTACAGTCAAAAGAAATTGACAGTTTAATTAGATCACATACAGAAATAAAAACTGATAGTGAAAGACAAGAAACGAAACCCAGCCCCAGCATATTTGAGTTTGCAAACAACTTTGCTGTGCAAATCTGGAATTCAGATGGTAATTTTAACAATGTTTATTAAAAAAAGGCCTCATTTGACTACTGGGTTAGAACTGACAAACAGTGACACTCCCAGTCTACAAAGATACACTACTTCTGTAGTTTTATCAACAGTTATCAAGCTAGATATTTACAATCCAGTATCCTCTGTAGTAATTATTCAAACAGTGGCTTAGGAGTATTGGGCAGTAATGAAAAATCTCTCCCACAATAGTTTTGGTCGTTCTTAGGGCAGCACTACCCAAAATTTACACTATAGAGCTAACACTTGTGGGCATGTGCATCTTTGGTTTCTTTAGCATCATGCCTCCACATATACTCCTGGAATATAATTCACAACATAAAACCTTTATTACAGCAGCTTTTGCAGTTCCTTCTATCTATCTTGCTCTCACTAAGAGGCTTTTTACTACCACAAATTTGTGAGTAGAACCAAGAGTCATTCTGTAATGTTAAAAAAGTGACCCACTCTCCCCTTTCTCACAAAATCCAGACATTTTGGCCTTGTTAGAGAAACTTTGGCCTTCTCATACGAGAAACCTCAGGGCACCCAGGAACCCCCCAACAACCCACCACCACCACCACACCACCAGAGCTGCAGTTTCCCAGCCCGAGCACTCGCTCGTGCGAGCAGCGGCGGCAGCAACCTGTGCTGTCAGAGCAGAGCGCGGGTGCCCGGAACCTGCGCCAGGGGCAGCTCCGCCAGCACAGCCCGAGCAGCGGCTGCGCCGCG